CATACGTACTTGGAAGATCTAGGCAGGCTCCCAGAGACTTTTGGCCTGCCGCCCCTAACCCAAGACCCCAAAGCGAGGCTAAGCCCTAGCCCTTCAACCCCAAGACCCGCGTGGCCACAGAGCCCTTCGGCGACTAAGTTGGGCCCTATAACCTCATGGACGCCGGAAGACAGATTGCCTGAACTGGCTGCCAGGGATCCTAATGTAGGGGCCTTTATAATCACTAATACTGTTTTGGGGGTTCCTTAGTCTACTTATCCCTATATCATAGACCCCTACTATAGATCCCTTATAGAACCCCTTTAAAGGAACCCTATTCTAATCACTAGGGCCCCTAAAATACCAAGGACTGCGCGGGAGGGCAGGACCACTGCTGCATGGCCACGGACGCAGAGTGCCGGGGGCCTTTCCCTCCGCCACCGGCCTTAGGGTTGCTTCCGAATCTACTACAAGGGTGCTATAGGGGTTCCTTTAGGGGTACTTTTGGGGTTCCTTTACTTTAAGGGTACTGTATAGGGGTTCCCTTAAGGGTACTATATAGGGGTTCCTTTAAGGGGTACTATAGGGGTCCTTAGAGAGATAAACAAGGGTTCTATGGGTTTAGGGTTTGCGAAAATTAGGGGTACCCTAGGTTCCTTTGAAGAGGTCTATAAGGGTTACTATCATGGGATCCATAAGGGTACTATAATGTAGAGGTCCAAATGATTACCAACAGTATTGTGAGGGTTCCTCATTATGATTATAGTAGAATGGGCCTCCAAAACCTTATTCTAATTATTAAGGCCCCTATATTACCTTTGAAACCACTGATTGCCTCTCCGGGACGGCAATGAACCAGCTGAAATCGGATATGTTTTCCCAACCATGCCAACTATGTAACTCTAAACCCCCAAAGCCCCTCAAGTGGTAAAACTCATGATTCCCATAGTCCCAGGCCTAGTCAGTTTAGGGTCGGCAGAATCAGCAGCTGAGGCCGTTAGGGTTTCAGACAAGAAGTTGCAGTATTTTGGTTCAGGCTGTCTCCGGGTTTAGGGTTTAGAGTGATTCGTGGAGATCTTGAGCTCTGGGCAAACGCTGTCCAACCTGTCGCCCGTGCCCAGCTTGGCTCCATTGCATGCCGCACATCACAAGACACTCATGTGCGGTTCATGAACAACCTACACTACTTAATAGTAGTATAACATGAACCCAAAACCCTATTCTAATTGTTAAGGCCCCTACATTAAGCTCTCAGTCTATCCTGTCTAGCCAGGGACCCTAAACGAAGTCAGAGTAAAGGGAATACTGGGGAATTCTCACGACTCCAACACAGCTAAACGTCGCCGCTCTCATCGAGGTGCGCTCAACACCAAAGCAATCTTTGAAGAAACCCTCGCATCCTTAACTGGGGCATCTGGCCCTTACTGTAATGGGCATAGGGCGCCATTTCGTCAGGCGTTCCGTGCTTTGGGGTTTGGTTTTTGGTCTCGTGCTTTGGTAATTAAGGGAGTTCGGCTTCTATAAGGGCGCAAGAAGGCTAAGTGTTCCAACCACAACGGTCTCAGCCTTAAACAAACACACACGCACACACCATCAGGCAGATGCATGAAGGTATGCAAACAGACAATATACAAAGACATGTGTGCATACATGCATGGGTTCCAGGGGGTAGACGAATGGCTCTTTAAGGATCATTGTCTATGCATCTATCTATCTAATTATCTATCTGTTTATCTCTCTGCCTGCCTGCTTGCTGCTTGCCCTCTCTCACGCGCAGACACGCACACATACAAGGGCGCGCTCTCTCTCGCTCTCACACTTGAAGTCTCTGCTTCAGTCTCTTTCCTTCTCGTTGCCTTTCTGTTTCTCCTTCTCCTTCCCTCTCTCACTGTCTGTCCGTCGATCAGAGTCTATCTATCTATCTATCTATCTATCGACCTATCGATCTACGTATCTGTCTACCGGTCAATCCATCTATCGATCTATCGATCGATCTACCTGTCTATCTATCTATCTATCTATCTATCTAGCTCTCTATCTATCTGGCTAGCCAGCTATTTATCTATTAGTTATCGACCGACTGATGGATCTCTTGGTTTATCTGTCTGTCTAGCTGACACTGTGTCTGTTTATCAACCTGTGTCAATATCTCGATCGAGACGTATGTAAATATATACCTATGACACACATGCATGTACGACATGTGTATGGATATGTACGTATGTACGTATGCACGTATGCAGGTATACGCGTATGCATGCATGTACGTATGTACGTACGTATATATATATATATATATATATGTATGTATGTATGTATGTATGTATGTATGTGTTCATGTGGGTCTGCATCTGTGCATGTATGCATGTATGCATGCATGTATGTATATGTATACATGTATGTATACGCAGATGTGTATGTGGTCAGGTCCCGTTTTGCAACTTGTGCCAGACTGACTTCCCCGAGCATGACCCCTTTCAAGCCTGATAGATAGCCTTATAGACTCTCAAGCTTAGATGCAGCAAGTGCGGCTTGGATTTAGGGCTTCCCTCTAAATCCCCAAAATCGAGTCAAACTCCATAGTCTTCTCACAGGTCCTCTATACCCTGCAAAATTTCTAAAATAATCGCAGACATATTCCAAACAAATCAAATTCCGTGCCCATGCAGGCGCCCTAAATCCCAAACCCTCAGCCCTTAGGCCCTACTTGGAGGTTCAGGGGTGGTTATAAGGTGAAGGCTTCCTTTCAGGGTTCTATATGGTTTAGGGTTTGGAGGTTTTGGGTAGTTATGCTACGGGTTTTTTTGTGCAATTACCGTACTTACAACCCTACTTATAACTACTCATGAACCTCCAAGTTAATCCTTCTTTCGCTGCAGTGGAGGCGCCCCCGAAGCACATGGCTCCGCACCAAGGAGTTCCTTCTTCTTCCAGGCAGGGACTCAGCTCTCTTTTCTTTGCCTTAGGTTTTGCTTGTGTTTGTGCGGTCTTATGTTTTTTTTTTTGCAGGGCCTTGTGGGGGGATTAAAACTGCAGAAGCTCAGGCCCCAGGAAACCAAAATAGTAAGCCTGGAAAACCCATCAGTCAGCTTTGGAAGATATCGCCGCCAAGGAAAGCGATGAGTCATCTGCTTGACTATTGGGGCCTGAATACATGAGGATAGGATAGTTATCTTGAGGCTCCGGAATAGAAGCCAGAAGCCCGAACCCCTGTCGAATCAATGCATGAGCCTTCTGTTGTGGGTTGTTCCCGTGCTGTTGAACTCATGCTGAAGTCCTCGATTTCAGCCCCGGGCCCCGGTAAAGCTGTGGAAGAGGACCGTTGGCTCCTAGGGGTGGGTACAAAAGAGAGTACGGTTTAGGGTGTAAATGGAGTCTGGATGGCAGAGAAAACAACCAGTGCCGAAGCAACCAGAGCTGGACATCACGGTCATAGTACAAGGTACCCCCCAGACTATTGAGAGGGGCTCAGGGCTGCAGTTTCCGCAGGGCAGGTCCCTCAGGACAGTTGCGGCCTTTGGGGTATTAAGAAGGCTACTTTCAGTGGCTGCACGCTCCACGGGATTCAGGATTTCGGTGCCCGGAAACATGCCCCCTCAACCCTGAAGCAACCCTTGCATAGCCTGGAACCCTTCACGACCCAGGCACCCTTACCGCTGTACGAGTAAGTGCTTTAAAACCCTTCAATCCCCAAACCCCAAGTTCCGACAGACCCCCCTTTTTCAGGGTTCGTGGCCCCAAGCATCTTGCGAGTAAGGTCCAGGGATAGGCGTTGAGGGTTCATCGGCATTGAATCCCTGAACCTGCACCTTGAATCTCGCCTTGAATCCTGCTATATGGGAGTTTCCGACAATTACGGGTATCTTATTTTGGGGTCCTTATATATAATAGGGATCCTACTGTTTAGATATATTAGGGTCCCCTATTTTCGGAAACTCCCATATAGACACTCAACTCCCCGACTCTACATCCACATGCCGAAGACCGAATTCCTACCATTGAGGGCCAAAAGCTTTTATCCAAGGGTAGGGAGCCTTGATGCTCTGGAAACCCGAGGTTGCTAAAGCCAAGCAGTCCTAAGCGCCCTTAAAGCTTGTAAGCCGAAAGCCTACCCAAAGCTCCTAACTCTACCTCTTTCCCTGCCCCCTCGGCTGTCACAGGCGTCACTTGAGCTGGGGGAGGCCTCCGGCCGCTGGCGGGCTCTGTGGAGTCAATATAGGGGCCTTAATAATTAGAAGACGGTTTTGGGGCCCATCACCCTATAAGTATAATAAGGAACCTCCAAAATAGTATAGGTAATCATTATTGAGGCCCCTATAGTTGGGGGTTTTCGGGTTTCAGGGTTTAGGGTGGAATAGATGTTACAAGTGAGTTGCAGGCACTTTAAAGGGACACTACACAAGAACTCTAGTTACAGTAGGACCATACAGAAGTCCAGGGCACGCGGGCTGTGATGATCGGATTCGGGGATGGTTGGATCGAAGGGGAGCTTTAGTCTGGATGCTCGTTAGGGACCTTGGGTTTGGGCGTCTGAACCCGCACCAACATATAGCGATATATATATATATATATATATATGTATGTATGTATATGATATGGTCTTTGTATAAAGATATATACACATGTATACATATGCACTTCTACATGTATATATATATATACATATATATATATATATATATATATATATGTCACATATTGTTATCTATCTTTCTATCTATCTATCCATATATGGGAACTGATGTATCAACGTACACGCATGCACTTATGTAATTAGTTGACCGTGCAAGAAAGTAGGGTTTCATGATTTATAGTATTGCTAGGGAGGACTGCTAGACCCGGAAAGGCCTACTGACTACACTGCACCGGCTGTACATTGAAGCGCCTGGCTGTGGCCGACAAGCGAAGCCCAATAAATACTTTAAACTGCCCTAAGCAAATTCCATCCCACGACACCTGGGCTCGCAGGGACGAAGAGCGTCCCGTGCACGGTGGGTTGCCCTCTTGTTCCTGCTGCCGCAATGGACGTCCCGCAGGGTTACGAGCCAGTCGTCGCCTGCACCTTTTGCCCCCCTGGTGGGATTTTCTTTCAACTTGCCGTTTATCTATTCGCGGGCTCGGCCGCAGTGGGAATGTTTTCATTCTCTCTGAGGTCTTGGTGGTTGAATGCAAGCAGCTTTCGCTCCGAACCTTAAGATCCGAATCCCATCGCCGTGAAACCAAAGCCCCAGGAATGGAACCCTGAGCCCTGAACCGTAGCCCAAACCGCTGAACCAGGACATTGGCAACGACATGTTGCAGATGCTCGGATCTTGTTAAGGAAGTAAGTTTAAGTTGCCATCATAAGGAAGCCGCATTACTTACCGTATGTCTCTGAGTATTACGTAACTTAGACTAAATCCATGAACAAGAACCCTTATAGAACCCGAACTTATGGTAACTTCAATCCTGGAACAGAACCAAGGATGTTGACCTTCGTCCACCACGGCGACTTTTGGTTCGCCGGCTTCATGGCGATCTTTGTCGCACTCAACTTCTTGGCCACGTTCCTGGCGACTGGGAACTTACGAAGACCAAGATTCTTAAACCACCCTTTTGGAGTCCAATACCTCTACTTACCTTTTGTTAGTAGGGAGTGGTAAGTCTAGAGGTGGCCAGAGATATGAGCCAACTTATGATTGGTTAGTAGGGAATGGAAGAATGGTAGTAATAGTAGTTATACTTGTACCCCATTCACTCCATTCCCAAAGACCCGCAGTTGAGTCTATAGGGTGGCCAGAGACCCTAAGCCCCTAAACCCTAAACCCGAAAACCCCTAAACCCTAAGGTAAAAGCCAGAAAGTTGGAATATGATTATCCTAACACTTCTATGGTAAATTATAGGGTATCCTACCATGAAACCATATTCCAACTTTCTGGAGTTCCCTGTAAACCCTAAACCCTAAACCCTAAACCCTAAACCCTAAAATCCTAAAACCCTAAACCCCTAAACCCGAAAACCCCTAAACCCCTAAACCCTAAACCACTATACCTCTGGAGGTGGCCAGAGATATGAGTCTGAGCCAAACGAAGCGCTGCGACCTGCTGGGGGAGGCAAAGCTCTGCGTAGCGCGGCAAGTGCCGACCCGGGCCTGGCAGGTGATGCGCCGGATTGTGGGGGTTTAAGTGCAGTAAGAGGGTTTAGGGATTTAGGGTTTAAGGGTTTAGGGTTCAAGTGCAGTAAGAGGGTTTAGGGATTTAGGGTTCAAGTGCAGTAAGAGGGTTTAGGGATTTAGGGTTTAAGGGTTTAGGGTTTAAGTGCTTAAGAGGGTTTAGGGATTTAGGGAACGTTATCAGATGGTCTGGGATTGAAGACTGTTCGGAGATGTGTTGGAACGATGGGTGTTGATGGTTGACTTACCTGTGGTTAGCAGGGAATGGAGGAATGGGATACAATTATAACTACTATTACTACCGTTCTTCCATTCCCTACTAACCAAGGGTAAGTTAAGTGCATTAATTAAGAGGGTTTAGGGATTTAGGGTTTAAGAGTGTAGGGTTTAAGTGCTTAAGAGGGTTTAGGGATGTAGGGATTTAGGGTTCAAGGGTTTAGGGGTTTAGGATTTGGGGGTTTAAAGCTTAGGACTTGGGGTTTAGAGTTTAGGGGTTTTGGGTTCGGGTTCAAGGTTTATCGGTTTGGGTTGAGAGTTTAAGAACCCTTGTCCTCAGGAAACAGTTATCATCGTAAGGGTTGGGTTGTGTAGATCTAAACGACGAGGGTTTGGGAAAATGAAGGATCCCAAATGAATCAGACTACCCGGGGTAGATGCATGAGAAATCACGGTGTCTTTTTGATGGCAACTTGGCCCTACGTTCAAAAAACGCAAGAACACCTAGGTTCCTGAGTAGTATGCTGTTGCCCCTAGTATTTTAGGGTCCCCTGATTAAAACAGAATAGGTAGGAAAAAGGGTACCCTTGTCATAAAATTGCTACTCAAAGACCGAGACGCAGGTGATCCTCTTTTGTGAGCGAAACATCGAAGCCCCTGGTACCGGGCTCATCGGACCCTACGGCGCTAGCCGGCTGGCGCTCACACCACTCCAGGCTGCGAGCGGACTCTACGGACTCTACAGTTCAGCAAAGGCCATGGCCGAGGGTAGGGTGGACCAGGAGGCAGGGGATGACTGCTGCTTTTTCAGAAGGGTGTTCTGACATGTCGTGTGCAGAGGAAGTATGTATACAGTCAGAGACTTCTATGATGCATGCATGCGCAGCAGGAGATGCAGGAAGGATTTCGCATTCTCAAGACCCCCTGGGTCCCTAAACCCTCAACCCGACGTCCCTAAACTCTAAACCCTGAGACCCGAAACCCTAAAGCGGGTCAGGCCGAAGTTGGAGGTTTGGGAGGAACCCCGACTTCGTCTTACGCGCTGAAGGCCGTGCGCCCGGCCAAGGCCGCCATGCTCTTCCTGTGGTACTTCTGCACCTTTGCTGCGGAGCTGGCGGCCTTCGCGGTGGTCAGTGCAACGCTGCACCCCTTGGTCACCTTGCCGGGATACGTGCTAGGTGCCCTGGCGAACGGGGTGGCGCAGTGGTGGAGTGGAGATGGCGGACTTGACGGCGGCAAGATGGCGACTGTGAGGGCTATTGGTTTATCCTGCATCAGCGTGGCCTTGGCTATGGCGGGTGGCCAGAGCAGGGCATTCACAAAAAGCGGACCCTTTGGTGGACCGGGCTGGATCCCAGCAGCCTTCATCTTGATACGCTTCTTCGCCTGGGCGGGCCTCTGCTTTTTTGTGGATCTTCCACATGGCCTTCTGCCTCTTGGCTCCCTGGGGCGACCCATGGGCTTCCCGGTGCTCCAAGCAAAGTTCTTGAGGCCGGCAGCTGCCTGCCGGGAAGCTTTAGTTTGCTTCACATCGCAGACGTGGGAAACTACGGAGACTCAGGCAAACTCAACTTTATGGGTTTTCACTGCAGAGGTGGGGTTCGGTGCGTGTGCTTGGCCGGCAACCGACGAGCTGACCACGCCGGCGACCATCTTCAACACCTGCCTGTTGGTCCTAGCCGTGGTGCTCGTCCCGATCCACATCTGCGTAGTCGTTGCAATGCTGGTCTTGAACCCCACATATTCGTCTGGAGCCGAAAACCCTTCTGCAAGGGACGAGATCCTAGCGAAGCAGCGCGAAATTGATGAGTTCGCAAGGCACAACGAGCAATCTGCGGGCCAGCACACGGAGCTGAGGCTTCTTGCAGAGGGGCCTGGAACGGAAGCCCAAGCTCAATAAGAATCTCAGCAACAATAAAGGTAACGGAAGCAAGAGTCGCAATACTGGTTGTGATGGCAATAAATGGAACAGTAACAGCCATAGTCATATCTGTAGCTATAGCCATAGTCATAGCCATAGTATAGTCATAGAGAGCAATAATAGTAAGCGATTTTAAGCCGCATTCGTAATGGTGACAGCAATACCAATAATAACATTGACAATAATAATACCATTAGTAATCATAAAAAATGTCATGCCAAAATAGGAATACTAACAAGCAAACAGGACAATAATATTAGTAATGGTAAAAATCACCCCAGAAATTCGAGACCATTGAGAAGCAGCCAGAGAAAAGACCAGCGCTGAAGCTGCAATCGATGGTGCCACTTTAGCAGTTGTTGATGTTCAGCCGCCATGCACGTCGACAGGAGCACAAGCCCGAATATAAAGGTGTGAGCAATTAGAATATGGCCCCCTTGTAGTCCCGTGACTCTGCTACGACATACTTCGGAGGCCCTATTCCAATCAACGAGGCGGAGCTGTGTCTATACAAAAGGAGCCTGAGTAATTACCGGCACAATTTTGGGGTTCCTAAGTGTAATGATAGTATAGTGGGCCCCAAAACCCTAGTCTAATAGTTAAGGCCCCTACAGCCTGAGCTGCCATAGCACCAGGGCCGGATCCTCGAGCCGTCTGCCAGGGTTTAGAGTTTAGGGTTTAGAGCCCTGCAAACTGGGAGTTTCCGAAAATTAGGGGTACCTTACTTTGGGCTGCTTAGGATAAGGATCCTACTATTTAAGCCTACTATATTGGGGTCCCCTATTTTGGGAAACTCCCACATCCACCACTCCAACATTTCAACGCCTTGAGTGGCCCTGAGACCACCCTAAATCCTGAAAATTGGCCCCAGGTCCCTAAATTCTGAAGGCCTTGCTCCCGTTTCAAAGCTTGCCTATCGATGTGGAATAAGTTGTACATTCCGCTTGTTGTTCAATTTGGAGCCCTCACTGTAAGACAATGTCGGGGACTGTTGAAATCGACACCAAGTTGAGGCCCTAACCCCTAAACCAAAAACCCCCCTAAAAACCCTAAACCCTAGAAAGGTTGAGGCTGTCAAAACTGAAACTTTAGCCCCCGGAGACCCAGGCTCCCGAAACCCCGAAGCCGCGGGGCCCTTCAGAACAGTCCAGGGGTTTAGGGGTTTAGGGGTTTAGGATTTAGGGGATTACAGGGAACTCCTGAAAGTTGGAATATGGTTTCATGGTAGGATACCCTATAATTTACCATAGAAGTGTTAGGATAATCATATTCCAACTTTCTGGCTTTTACCTTAGGGGTTTAGAGTAGAAGACGAAAAGTTGGAAACCCAATAGCCCCAATCCCTAAGAGTCATTCGAAGAGGGAGCCCCAGCACTACGGTTTAGGGTTTAGGGTTTAGGGGTTTAGGGGTTTAGGGGTTTAGGGTTTAGGGGTTAGGGTTTAGGGTTCCGGTTTCCAACTTTTTGGTGTGTACTGCATAGTAAACTCTTATCGCAGCCCTTAGTAGAGCCCTCTAAACGCCCTGCACAAGCCGAGAAGCATTAAGTATAGAACCCTACTACCCTAAACCTTAAAGCCTTCTATCCCTAAGCCCTAAAGTCTCATAGAACCCTAAACCCTGAAAGACCCTAGCCTGAAAGAACCCTTAGAGCCCTGTAGAGGCTCCAGAAGTGCTGAGTGTGTGGGGAAGCCGATGGCTGCCGCCCTCAGTGGGCCATGTTTCCGCCTTAGGCGTCCGTCCCCGTCGTGGCTTGGCTTGTTGTTGGGCCTTTTTGTGTTTGGGGTTGCACTTCTTTGTTCGCACGGCTTGTGGCTGTAAGGAGCTGACCAGTTTGTGTTTGGTCGTTTGGTTTTGTTGTTGTTTTTATTGGGAGTCGATGGGGTCTTAGACGCGAAAGTCGCCGCTAGGGTAGTTTTGTTTTTAACCGGGGACCTGGAGGTAGTAAGGTAGGGGGTTTGTTCGGAGCGAGGTTCGCCTCCAGATGCCGAGAACAACTCCCCGACCAGAGCGCCTCCTGTACACATTGGGGACATTAAGTTGTTTTGGTTATTGGGTTTTGTATGGTTTCATTGGATTTGATTGATGAAGGTGTAGATATAGGGGGTGTTTTAGTTGGTGTCTACTTAGGACTTGGTTAGATTGGGTCGTCCCCGTTTCACAGGCCGTGGGCTTTGCATCGCACTTGGTTTTGTTGTTGGTTGTAATTGTTTTCTACTTGATCTGCTGCGGCAACTCTTAGTTCATAGGTGTTAGATGCAAGGCCCTGCGGGATGCGCTCCGTTAATGCGTGGCCTTTTTGTTTTCGAACTGGAAATCATGAGTTCAAACCTTGCCCTTTTTGCTTAATTAAACTTTTGTTGCCGAGCGCCCAACACCAGCATCGGTGGCTCGGGGGGCTGGGGCCGGCATGCATGTTTCCTTTTTACCTTTTCTTTGCCTTCGCCGCCAATAAATGCCCCGTTGCTTCGTTTCTTGCTGCATCTCCGCTTGTTTTCGTCTGCCTGCCCAGGCCGGGGACTTGGTTGCGCCGTTTTGGGTTTTTGTTATTTGTTGGCTCGGGGCCTTGGCATGGGCTTTATGGCTTGCTAGGCTTGCAGTCTGCGTTTCGCTTGCGAACGGATTTCGTGGTTGCCAGATCTAAAAGTAAGTGTAAGTGTGTGAGTGTGTGTTTCTCCCAATCAAAGCTCCAGAACCTTGTTTAAGGGCACTTCAACTCCTGTGACTTATGTTGGCATGCTCGTAAGCGTTGGAACCTTTGTGGTGTTGTGGGCTTTTGCACCCTTCCCGGCCCTCTTGAGCCTGCTAGTTTGATTCACGTGTTACTTGCGTTGAACCTTCCCTGGGGTTCCCTGTGTACTTAATGGGCTCTGCGTCTGCGGGCTTGAAGGTTTTGCTGTTGCGATTGCTGTTTTTGTCGTCTCTAGTTTGGTTGCTGCGGTTGTTGCTCTTCTCGTTTTCTTACGCGTTGTTCCCAGTGGGGTAAACCGGGTGGCCAACCCCCCCTGCTACGATGGGGGCCACGGCGTGGGACACCCTGCTGCCCTGCCCTGCCCTGCCCCTCTTGGTTGTGCTGCCCACGCTTTGTTGCAGGGCATCCCAGACCCAAGCCCCCCTCTGTCGCTGGACTCGCAAGCCCTCCAGCCAAGGTGTGTGGTCTCGAATCCCGGCCCCGTCATTTTATCCCAAACACCGCCTGGAATCGAGATCCGGCCTTCTTTCTTTGTGCGTTCCTTCTTTAAAAATGAACATTTTAAATGGTCCAGGTGCCCCCCCTTCTTTGTGTGAGCATCTGTGCTTTTCCCCGTGCTGTCAGTGCCCTCTGTCCAAAATACCTGCCATTGAGGCCCAAAATACCCGACCCCAGAGTAGAGGGTTTGATGCTCTGATCGATGCCCTAAATTCCTAGAGCCTTAAAGCCCTAAATCCTGAAGCTCTCTCTTGCTGATTTCTAACAGCCGAAAACCCTAAACCCTAAATTCCCAACCTGCCTCTCTTCCCCATTTCCCTCTTCCCGGCTGTCAGAGGCATCACCTGACCTGCGGGAGGCCGCTGTTCGGCTACTTTTGGAACCTTCTGGAGGGTAGAGTGTAGGGGCCTCTTTGATCATCTCAAACGGCTTCCTTTACGGGTTCCTGAAGGGGGTTCTACAAGGAGTACGAGAGAGGTCATTATGGTGTAGGGTTGGAGGAATTCTCCATCTATGGCTTTTAGGGTTCATGAGATCTTGTACATATGCTTCAAAATCCGGGCCTGAGCAGTGCAACCAATTGGTTATAGCAGATTGATTGTACTAAACCACATGGACCTGGAAAGGGACACCTGTAACGATTCCCTATACCCTAAACCCGAAACCGCGATTCTGACCTCTAGACTCTAGCTCGTACCGGGCGTAAGCCCCGGGTGTATGGGCTGTGATGGAGCGGATCCGGGGGAGTTTAGGAATCGCAGGTGTGTTCGCGGATTTCAGGGCGCAGCGAGTCAGACTGGAGTTCTAAATGGGGTCCTTGGATTAAGCTTGAGAGTTTAATGTAATGTAAGGGCCAAAGTAATTACCTATACTATTGTGGGGGGCTCCTCATTATGATTGTAGTATTAACATACCCCAGCAGCCTATGCTAATTATTCAGGCCCCTATATCAAAGTCCCCTATACCATAGATCCCTTATGGACTTATAGACCCCTTTAAAGGAACCCTACACCCTAAACCCTAAGCCCTACAGCTACAGTAGGGACTTTGCATTATTTAACTTCAAATGCACTGCAGGCTTCAGTCAGGTTCCTCTTTGAGGGACCTCGGGTTCGGGCATCTGAACTTGGAGGTTCACGGGTAGTTATAAGTAGGGTTATAAGTAGGGTAACTATACTTATAACCTGTATTAGGAGACTTATAACCCTACATATAACTACCCATGAACCTCCAAGAGCCCTATCTATGCTATAGGTCCCAAGCCATAAACCTTATACTATAATATGGTGAGGGGAATAATGTTACATTGTATGATATCCTGGTGTATAACCTTACATTGCATTATATCTCCTAAACCCCAAACCCTAGACCCCAAACCAGGGTTTCCCACGAGCCCCCTTGAGCACATCGAAGCACAAGGATGCCACTGTAGGGAAAAGAAGTATAGGCTTAAGGGGCAGAAGTAGTAGGGATGATGAAATTCATGGGTTAAGCTGCCTGCAAGACCTCTAGGTTTAGGGTTGAGGGTTTGCGTTTCGTCTTTCCTCTGCCTGTGCCGCAATGGCCGTTCCGGAAGGATACGAACCCGTGGTGCCCTTCAAACTCTGCCCGCCGGGGGGGCTGTTTCTTGAGCTCGGAGTTTATCTTTTTGATGCTTCGACCGCCCTGTAAAGCTACTTTTTCATAACGGTTGAATACATGGAAACTTCATAGTATTGTTCCTAAGTCTGAGACACCGAATAGTTGAATAGCAAAAAACGACAAATAAATACAAACATAAATAGGTAGATA